GATATGGAGGCAGCCTAAGAAGAAATCCATGGGACCCGTTCCTATTGTTTGAAACCCACCGAGCTGTAAATACAGAGAATAAACGATACATGAAAACCTCATCACCTGGTGGAGGGGATATGTGCATTCTCCGACACAAGTGTCGACCATCTAAATGCACCTGGGTGTTTACACCATGGATTATAGGTCAGGGGTTGAGTCACCCTCTTTTGTTCCAATATTATGACAGTGCACACTTGGGGGTGGTGGCTTAAATTGCTCCAAACCGAGGGAACATGCGTACAAAGTCATTCAAGATACCACTTTCAGAACGTAACCGTCGCCCCTTCAGGATTTTTTGGCGGTCACGGTGCTACGACTTATGCATCTCAGCTTCCCACGCGAACCACTCAGCGTGCCCAGACACCTGCGTGGTGTGTTTCAATTTGTATTAGTGGTACATACGCTTTTCCAGGCGACCGTAGGCATTTTCCAGACGGTTGTTGGTCACAGCGTTCCGGGGTTGTGCGCGCGTAACCCGTTTGCGGCTGACGTACGACCAGTTGACCGCGTGGGTCTAATTCGTCCATGATGAAACTCTCGATAATACTCGCTTACCATTTCCCTGAACAATACAAACACTTAGCGCAGGGGGCAAGCTTTTCGCTTTTTATACGAGCATCCATAGCCAAACGTACGTTACCCACGCAATCTGTAATCAGAGAGCTGTAGAGCCAGTATCTATAGTTCAGATATTAGTTGCTTTAAAAAGCTTACACAAAACGGTTTGTCGCGTGTGTACCTCTGATATTTACTTCATCCGGAAAACGTCGATGCAGTGCTATCTGCTTCCGTCTGGACAGGCACATGTGGCCGTGGTACCCTTCTTTTGACCACACCACATGCACGAGCTTGGTCTCCGAAGGATTTCCCAGGGCAGGAGGCATATCATCTGCCACAAAAACACAACGGTCCGTCACCTATTCAAAGGAAATTGCTAGCGATTCCGGTCGTAGTTGCATACGTACTGCGTAGTAAAGATCTTGCCGAATTAATTGGCTTCAAACTGTCGCACTTCACACAGCGGCATTCCATACTTCAGCATGGCTCTACAGGTGCCCAACCCCTCTTTCGCTATCATCAATATACCGGAAGTCGATTTTGCAAAACTCGGAAACCTTGAGGTTGTGCTCAAGATGAGGTGATCGAGAGAAGATCCCCTGGCTCCTCAGACAAAAGCCAGTGACACGTGCACAATTTTTTTATATAATAAATACGCCCAGTTTACCAGCTTCTTCGGTTCCTCTTGTTCAACTGGCTTTGCTGTTCACTTGCTGCATTTGTAGTACATCAACTCGTAGTACATATTAGCAATGGTGCTTCGACTCTTGGCTACAGGCACAAATATCACAAAGTTACTCGTCATGTATTCCTTTGTGGAATTCTTAAATATTGTGATAGAGGAAAAGCCAATAGCCCCCAATTTCTCAACGAGCCGCTTCTCAGGCCCTCAAATTGCAGGTTCAAAATCAAATGCACGCAAGTAATTGAAAAGGAGATCAAATAAAACAGATTGCAACAAAACGAATGTGGATTAAGGTGACTTTTGTTTTAAGCATATATGGAGCGTAACGCAGTATCGCCACGTATAAAATTTATTCCACCCACAAAGATTTTCGAGGAATAAGTGCGTTCTGGAAACGTATCGATGCGTTGGCTTGATATGTGCCCCCAAAAGAGAGTGAAGCCTTAATAACTTTATTTCCTTTCTCTCGATGTCCCCCGCGTTTAGATCCTGCCGGGTTAGTCATGACCGAGTCTACGTTGGATACTGCCCACACCATGTGATATTGTTCAGATTTACGCAATCATGAGCAACCGCAGATTTCAAAAATCACACTTTATTCTACTGCAATGTTGTGAAAATAACCAACGGCATTGCCACCAGCCAGTTGAGGAATAAACATTACTGTGCTTCATAAAGTAGGGCCCACTGGTGGATGATACCAAAAAATTGAGCCTTTCGCCGTACAAAGTTGAGATAAGTCGGTGTTGATTCCCCCCTGTGAATCAACGGTGAACAAGGGTAACTTTCTTGTTTTCTGACTACTCATGAGCAACATGTCTTACACCTGCTTATTATGACACCGTTTAGTTTTCTTGCTGCTCGTTTTCCCCCCGTTTCGTTTCCACTTATGGTCTGCTTATCCCTCAGTAACTGATGTCAATATTTTGTTGCCCATCTGTCATTGCCTGCAAGTTCGTCTCGATCGCACCTATTTTGAGCGCCCACTCCGACGGAAAAGCGGGCCGACCGGGTATCGAACCCGGATCCTCCGGACGGCAGGCGAACGCGCCACCAACTACACCGACTTGACGCCCAGAGCGGCTGATTATTTTGTATTACCCATGTATCGCGCCTGCCAGATAGCCTTTGCTGAGCTTTGTTTTAAACGGACGAAACCGCGCAATCCGACTTGTCACTCGACACGAGCGGCTGCGTCGACGCCGACAGAAAGACAGCCCCTCACATCCCGAACGTGCTTACTCCTGCGCCGTTACGGCCAACTCACACTGTCGGACTGCCCCTATATGTATGTTTGTACATCGTTTGGTACTTACTTGTTGTTGCTTCTATAGAAATCCGTGCTGCGTCAGTGACTAATTCCTGCTCCTGCTGATTGTGTCATTGTTGACTGTACTTTTGCTTAATTCATGAGGCATACTAATCCGCTCGTCTGTAGAACCAGTTCCTGTCAGTCCTCAATACATCATCTGCCGCCCCACGTCTGTCTGCTCCTATTGACTGCTGGCTACTGACTACGTATAATTTAATAGTCGCAATCGTCCTGTGAGATCTATAACAGTTGGGAAGGTTTTGTATGGAAAAACATGCTGCTGGGGACGGGTCATTCCGTGCAAAGCGTTCACATTACCGAAGCCTGATACCACTGTCAAAAGGACAATCCACTGAGACCTGGGTGGACTATTATGTATCACCTGTTTATCGTCCTCCGTTCAAATGATGCCCATACCAGATTCCTGCACGAAGTTCAGGTGTGACTCCATGTCACTTGAATATTTTGCATAGTTCTGGCAAATCCCACTAAGTGGAAAAGACAGTTTTCGCCAATGTCAACTTGCGTTCTTTGTAAGAACGCAGTTAATTAAAAGGTTAGAAGCAGCTTCGGCGAAGTTTGGTAGCAGTTGGCGGGATAGGGATAGACTCAAATAATCTTCCTTTGAAAAGTGCGGATTTTCGCTTAACTCTGTTGGTGGCATGAGCTCCACCGTGGTTATTTTCTCATGCCGCGATGGTTTTCCAGACTGTGATCTCCCTTCATTTTTATGGAATAAAGTTCTTCGATGCTAGCTTAGAAAATTCAACGTGTGTCACAGACCGGCGTTCTGACGAAGCCTATCTTATGACTCACTGCTATGTTGAAAACAAACTTAAAATTTGTCTGCCGGCATTCCTGTACGGTTCACACAGTGGTTACCAAATAAAATCAAGAATAACGGCTAAATGAAATGACTGCTACAAACGTCCGAAAAACACAGTCCAGCAGGGTCAGTCGGGTGGCATCTGCCAGTGGTGGGCAACAATAACAGTACGGAAGTTTAGTTTCTTTTAAACCTACATCCACAAAATATCTGACAAGGCAAATACCAAAGACAATCTGAAATACCACTCACAAGAGTTATCACTGAGAGGAATCATCGCATTAAACCAGATATTCCAAGGTCACATCAAAGGTTCTGATAGTAAACTCGTGAGGTATGGGGAGTTACAATATTTTGATACCAAATACTAATAATCAAAAATGCGGCTTGGGAGGCTCTGGTAGGGAGACGCCGGGTGACCGGGTCGTCTTTTCCTACCGAGGAAACCGTATAGAACTACTCAACCAGATGGCCATTCGTCACGTTTTGTTGTAAACTCTCCTACCGAGAGCTGATTACCTAATGGTTTTTCACAGGAAACCAAAGCGAGGAATGGACGGAACTCTACTTAGTATGCAAAGTTTAGTTTGCTATCCAAGTACAGTATGCACAATATCAAAAGCGGGGCAAATATTCAGAAAATTGGAAACAGCCGGTTAAGAACTTACTGCTTACCCTTGATTCTAGAATCATAGTGGACCAGTTGAAGGACTCATCAGCACCTTCTGTGCCAGTGCACCGCGGCCAGTAGGGGTCTGGCTACCCAATAAGTTGGTTTACCAGGAGTGTGTGGCAAAGAAGTAAAAATAATAACGCTAGTTTGGGTATGCAATAATAAAGAAACCAGATGGAGCAGACTCACTATCAATTGTTCTCTTTAAAATAGTTCGTCGTTTGCCCAGGTCGGCGAATAAACAATAATCCAATTATGGTGGTCTAGGGGTCCTCTTCTGAACAGTTCCTACATACAATAGATTCCGGGGATGGTTTGAAATATCTTGATACTAGATTTAGCACATAAGCCTTGCGAATGACCGCTGCAAGTGCCAGCGAAATCAGAAGAGAGAGTCGAAGCACGTGACCACGCTTGTATTCTGTGTAATTGTACAAGTGCGCGTTTTTGTAGTTTTTCGTATGCAAACGAAAGACGATAAGGCAATTGATGAAATACGTAGTGTTATAATGCAGGCAAAATAAAGGTACAAAACGCCACGAGCCAAACATGGACTACCAGAAACCCGCCCCATTGCCACACTCGGAAACCGCGAAACCAGTGGAAAAGTGAATCCAATGACTTGCAAAGCTCTACCGCTCACAACTACTACGTAGACGCAATTCTTTAGGCTCCCAAGTCTGGTGCCCACTCTGCCACCATTGGATGACAGTGGTGATATATCTCCTAAGGGAGCCGATACAAGTGCGCCATGGCTTTGTTTATCTGTATGTCGAGGCTATTGTCTGCGCAACGAGCGGCCTTGTTCAAATCTTTCCTCAGGTGGTTTTGTAAGTAATGATTGATATAGAAGTAAGGGGTCGTCTCGGACAGTATATAAAAGTATGTGCTATAAAACAATGGATTGAAGTTACGATATCCACAGGCTTTCTTGCGTAACGTAGTTGACAATGATGCCATCGTATCGTATCCGAGCCGGTTTGTTCATGTGTTTTATTATTACCTGTTCATTTATTAGAGATCAAGACGAACGACTTCCGCTTTCCAATGTACGGTTACCTCCAGCCCCTGGAAGGTAGGTCCATCAGGTGTTGTGTTTATTCGCATGGACTTGCTCCCCACTCGGTATACGATACTGTACTGCCATTTAGCTGCAATTCCTCACCGCTTGCCACTGACTACCAAGTTCCCAACTGTAGTCAGGTATGCGAGCATTTCCGAAAACGGTATGTTGCGTCCTCGGCTGCCGGGAGAAGTTGCGACAATCGTGTCGAGGATCGTCTATTCGCTCGGAGGCAGTCAGTCGTATGAAGTGTGTAATTCCTTATAGGCATCCCCCTCTGTCTTATACTTAGCGACCGTGTTCGTTCGTCGGAAATCTTGTTGGTATGCGATGTGTAGTAATGTTGACAATCGGTGGTCCTCGTTTCAAAGGTTCTCGTTTTCTGCACACGAATTGAGTGTTATGACCTGGTTAGCTTTGAATATGCAGGAGGGGTAGTCGAAATTAAAACCTTGTTTCTTTGTATAGCATAGTTTCTGCAGAACGAGTTTCACCACCGAATATTTAGATCCCAAGCACCCCTTTCGCGTCATATTTCTTCCCTTGCGCCTCATTTGAACGAGTTCAACGTCTGACAGGATGACTTTTTGCTTCCCGCTACTGCATCATGACCCCACACGCATACCGATGGTTCTTGCCGGTACTTGGAGGAGCGTTTGCCATCTCACTGCTGGTGTGCAGGGACTTGTACCTCCACCACTGTCTCACGCTAAAGTCGTTCACGAATTTACGGGTCGATACTCAGGATCGAGGCTTTCGCCCAAGTTTCCCGGGTCGGTTTTGTTATTGTCGTTCAGCGGCTGCTGTTCGCCTGAAGGGCACAAGTGAAAAAGGGTGTAGCACTGCTCCTCAAGTTCTCAGGGCTGGACAGTAAGCTTGCCAGCGCGAGGATTCGCATAAAAAGCTTCTAATAGTGCTTGGAACTGGGTACTGAATGTGGCGTCGACAACCGTTGGAGGAAGGTTATTCTACGCAGCAACCACCCTAGATGAGACAAAAATCTACCCAGTAAAATTGTGTGCTCTGAGCTTGAAAATCTTTTTACCATGTCCTCGTCGTGTGTTGGCTGGATCAACGGTGAAAAGCCCTTTGGCCAGACCTTGTCTAAACAGAGCATAAGTAAGTATTAGGTCTCCTCGGAGTCGACGACACTCGAGGGAAAAAGGTGAATCAACGCGAGACGCGCTTCATGGTCCACGGATTCAAGACCGGGGGCCATTTTCGTAGCAGCCCGTTTGAGACGCCTAACGAGGGGTACGTCCTTCTTGCGTCCTGGTTAGACAACTTGGTTGGCATATTTGAGATACGGTCTGACGTAGTTCGTCCACGCGCACTGTCACTGGCACAGATTCCAGTCAATAATATAGCGCACAGGTACATCACATCGCGTTCATCACCCACCATGGAATATAAACAAATATTGAAACTTCCTGCTGAGGTGTTTGAAGCCAGATCTTGGTTAGATCGGATCTGATGAAGCCTCGGAAAATTACGATGAAGGTACATGATGGACAACTGCTGGAAGTATCTTATGGAAACCTAGAACCTGACTCATCTACTTTCTATCTAACTGATGCTGAATCGACGCAGTGTGTCGAGAAAGATACAAAGCACTAACGAAGTGGACGAAAATAACCGATGGAGACCACATACTGACTAAGCGACAGAAAATCCGTTTATGAGCTCCTCACATTTACAGCTATTCATAACTTTATGAACAAACGAGGTGGACCGGAGACGTGGAGCTCTAGTATGGGTAATACCGTAAGTGCCAATGGAATGTGGAAATGGCGGCATGGGACCGAACGAAAATGAAACTCCCCCGTCAGTTCATCCCTTTAAACTGAAGTACATTACTGGATATCACCTCCAACTGTCCCCCACTGAATGAGACGTGGCCTGAAATGGTCTTTCACCTTTAGGCTTAAACAGATTGACTGAATGAATTGGTATGTTTCTCTGAGTACCTAAGGGATCGAGAGACGTGTTCGCAGCCGGTAACGAATATATCCAACTGGGAAAGCCATTCGTGACGCAATACAACCTTGGACAAGGGTCTCTTAGCAATGGGGTGCTTGTCGTTCGTTTTCATGGCGCGTTCTTTCCTTGATACGGACTGACTGACAGGGGCACCCGACGTTTTTTCTGGAGCATTACCACTTCTGTTTTGATCATTAACTCCGTGACATTAATCTGCATGATTTGTTTACGACCTTCGGTCGAAGGACAATGTGGACGACGGGTTGGGCGTTTTCCAAAAGTCGTCACCCAAACGTAGGTACATTACACGCCATTGCCATCGGTGAGACTACGTAGTATCTGAGGCCTACTGGAGTACGAGAAGTTAACTGGAAAGTTACAGAAGAATAATAAGGATGTCATCAGGCTTGTGAATAGGATTAAGCAAATTAACTCGGACCAGTTTCGGCTCTGTCGTGTCGGAGGACGTTGTCAGATATTGTCTTGCTTGGGGCTCCATCTAGGACGTCGTGATGGACCGAAGGGCTATCTTGACTGTCATTGTTTTCACACGTTTGCTGTTCTCTGTGTCAGGACTGTCGATTTTAATCTGACCTTGTATTTGCGAATAAAACTGGTCTAGGTAACCGATGTCCAAGGGTATCACTTTATGCCCAGTCAGTGTAGCTGGTCTCCCGCGAGAATCGCACTCTTGAGGAACGAATTCGGTCCTCTATCGGATATCCTTCGATTCACTAGTTTGCTGATCACAAGTGGATCTCCAAACACACTCAAACAGTTATTCAGATACTCAACAATAAAGGAGGTTTCAACTGTTAGAGTTTCGTTCAACGACAATAAATAGGACGAAGGGATGACAGTTATCTACTGCATGCGATAGCCCAATCAGTTCGCTGACGTCAGCTCGTTCCTCTTTGTTTGGTTGATGGATTCTCTGAAGGCATATTTCAATTTTTCTGTTTATCAGTTACAAACCGTGTAACTTGGGCACATTAGTTCCAACTACTACATCGATCACCGGAAAGTGGGAAAGTGTAGGACATACAACCAAGCCTTTGAAGCGGTGGCATGTTTAGTTAGTTCGGTAACTGTTTAGCTACGAATTTCAGGTGATAGCTTCGCTGGACGAGCATCACTGACTGCGCAATTGGGCCATTTCTGCCAGTGTAATTAATGATTGGCGAGTTAAGTCCAGATTTCCTATCCATGAATCACTATGGATCACAGTGCCGCAGTGTAAACTGCCCTTGGAAGACAAACTGATATCAAGTCGGCCCCACAGGTGTCCGAGGTCGCCAAAAGCTGTCTTGGCCATCGCGAACCGAGAAATGATCTCATCTCCAGCCATTCCGCCTGAACTTACGCAACTGCCCATGTAAATAGATTAAACTACCACGTCAGTTGGCTCGTCTAAAAAAAAATCGTCCAACTGTAGCACCCTTCCGGTGCCTAACTGCCATGCCACCCGAAGGTTGTCCGAGGGCTGGGATACTGCCAGGTCGCCCAAGCCTAGACAAGGGAAGTCGAGTGGCAGAGGTCGGGTTCGAGCCACGGACCTTCCGGTCAGTAAATTCGCGGTCTAACCACTTGGGCCATCTCGCCCCCAAGAGTGAGGTCCGGGTTTGGTCCCACCCAGCCTTGTAGCAGCACTTTACAATTTGCAGGTGTGAAGTGCACGGCAAACCGTGGGGCAAAGTTACTATGTTTAAAATGGTCTGTGTTTTGGAGGATCCGAACCGCATATTCATTACCTGTGGACGAACATCCCAAGAACATTTCGACCACCGAGGTTTCAGACACAGAAATTTCAAGCAGCAGAATAAAAATTTGAAAAGGATATGCGAGAGAGGACAGCTTTGTCTTACACCATTGGACGTGTGAAATCAGGTGATAGTTTGCCAGGTACTCGTACGCGCTCACAGTAGTTCGTGTACAGTTTCTTCTTGGGGGATACAAATTTGGAAGGGACACCTTTGATCGCCAGACACCGGCAAATTTTCACACGGTCGACGTAGTTAAAAGCCGCTTTCGAACCTAGAAAACCGACCAACATAAGACGGTTAAAGGTAAGGCTATGGTCGATGCATCTTCAGGCAGAGCGAAATCCACCTCGGTTCTCATGAGTCTGCCTCCTGATAATTGATCAAAATACGCATAATGCCAGACAGCCCATTCATGCGTCGGTTAATGCCACGATAGTTTCCTCATGAAGACTGGGATAATGGTTGAGGAGTTCCATTCGACTGGTATTCTGTTTCCGTCCCATTATGATCGTCAGACTGTTCACCAGGACCACCCCACCTTTGAAGAGTGCGGGATGCATACCATCCGGGCCAAGTGCCTTGTCGCATTAAAGGATTGGTATCTCACTCTGGGTTTATGTTAATCGTGGACTGGTGTCGATGTTCATTTCAGGCCTGCTGGGTGCTTCAAGCGGTTGTGTTGAAAACTGAACAGTTCTTTGATGTGTTCAAACCATCGCTCAAGAGGACAATCACATGGATGAACTGCCGTTTCGTCTTTTTCGCATATCATTGATCGAATTAGCTGAAATATGGTTAGGTTGTTGCCTGCAGCGAAATCCCTCGAAATCCACCAGCGTTCTCTGTCACTTTTCAAGCTCCAGATTATCTGGTGTTTGAGGGATCTGTGTGGGCCACCACAGTCGCCAGTTGCTGTTATGGCCTTTCTGGGAGCAATATGATCTGATAACGACGATCTTCACTGTTCATTTAGTTGGGTTGGTTGGCTTGTACAGACCTAAAAGCTGACAGCAAAGCTTCTTTCTCCCGCTCCCATTCAACCTCCAAGCAATCTTCGTCATTCGCGTAACTGTGCGTTTCCAGTAGCCTTCTAGTCAGGTTAGTTCGATGCTCCTGAGCTACTGAAGCTTGTCGAAGTTGACAAATGCGATTTTCTCTGCTTTGGTGCAAGTAATTCTGATGGAAAGCGAAATGGTAACGGGGCTCGCAAAATGCCATGGTCATAATCAAGTAGCCTGCCACAAAAGGAGTGACAGACTTTAATTGAGGCTCTCCATCAGTAACTGATAGCCACGTGCTCCAACTGAGTCCATTACTGTCTTGCAGTTGGTGGCCTCCAAGTAACTCGATGTGAGCGTTTGTTGTAAGTTGTACTGGTCAGGAACAAACGTTGATCAGCACACAGCGGAAGCAGTTGTTCCCCATTATCCGTCGATTCCAAATTTTTCACCTATTTGCGATTCTTTCGGACATAGCTGTCCAACTTGGACATTCATATCACCCGCAATATCCGTCCTTCTTACCGACCGAGTCAATCATGACTGATCTTGATGAAACCCATCCTCAGTTTCAGAACTGCCGTCTGTCTGGGCGATGCTGATACCACAAATAAACTCCGTCTATCGCATCAACACACATTGATCCTCATTGAGCCAGACAACCGCGTAGCACACAGCACTGGGTTGTTCAGTTTTGAAAGTATTTCGACCGTACTGTATGGTGCATCGGTTGTCACCGTCAACTGTGAGGCGATCGGAGTGTGCGGGTTTTAGGACCGCCCTTTTTTAACCCGTCCTTCCTCGCGGAAAGCAGCATCGCTGCTTCCGTAAATATGGACATGCTGGTCGCCTGGGGGGAACGCCTTACTGCTCTCACACTCCCATCACAGGACAGTTCGGCTTTACTTCCGAACAGCCTCGTAATACGCTTACCCGCAGTAAGAGGACTCGGTGTTCTTCGTCGGGCTGCTCCCCTGGGGCCTTCTTGGCATGGCTGAACCTGGATTCTAGCCACTATAGCCCACAGGATCATTGCAGCACGGGAACTCGATCACCACCGACAGGTTTAGGTCGTGGAGCCGTTTCATTATGTAGAGATTCGGAAATTCGGAAACCGGTTTTCGTCATGCGTTTTTTATTCACTTGGCCGCTTTCACGGTTCATATTCAAAACGCAGGAGGATAGCGAGCTGCTTCTACACATTGGTTAGATTCTGGGACGAAAATGTAAGTCTCAATTGGCAGTTAAACTGGACCTTCCATTAGTGTTGGTCCCTTTGATGAAATAGACTACCACTGCTGGATGAACCAGACTGGTTATGTTAAGCCATTGGGACAAAGTGCCTGCTTGGTTGAATGGATATTCTCCCTTCCCAGGTTGCTGGACTTATGGAACCCATCGGTCGGTTCTCTGACAGCACTAGGTTTGTGTTTGCCCCCACTATTTTGCAGTAACAGTTTACACTTCCTGTTTGTATTTTTGCTGGGGAATCCAAATCTAGAAAGAACATTGAAGGTCGTCAACCTACCAAGCATATCTTATTAGTTTTAAGGTCAAAAACGAGCAAACCTTATACACGCTGGGAAAGATCAAAACAGGAAAATGAGATCTGCCAATTTTGCTAATTCATCGGCTAACTACCACTCCGCTTCTATTCTGGTTAAGGCTTCGTGGAGGGGGTCATCATTTGTTCGGCTGGTGAAGAATTCGTCCGGCTGAAACCGGTTTGTGCCCACCCGTGAGCCTTCGTTCAGTCTTTCCGTGCTTGGGCTTCCTATCGAAAAGGAACCCTACATATTGCATCACTTGGATGTAGATGTCTCCCATGTAATTGTCATCATCCTCATCATCGACAGCACGACATCGATGCTTCATTGCCGTAATCATATCATTCACGGTTGATTTATTACACCACCTAATCCACTGGTCTTTGTGGACAAAGACAGTAAAGTTTGCTGTGGTATGTCGTTCGATGTACTATTACGGCATTTCTTATATTCAGTTCTCCCGACATGGATACGAAACCTCTCTCGTTTCAGCCAGCGAGAAATCAATAGAACTGAGAAGCTGAATATTCCCGCTTCTTAGGAATCAGTCACTGTGAACGCGTTTTCATCACTTTTCTGGAAATACTTTGTTCTGAATGTCGTTGGATATTCTTGTTTAATGCAGCCTTTATGCACCTAAGGTATTTTTGTTGCAGATGCCAATGCGCCATTCTCTGAATTAAGAATTCCCTTTTTGCTCGAATCGGCAGAGAGGTTCGTGATCAGGAAGAATTTCAGCGAAATTATGCGGGTACTTGGCAAATTTTTTAACGAGTTCCGTAAGAATCATTTCCTACCCTAACCGAACGGGCTCCACCGCACCGTAAACCACATGAAACAGGGGTTTCCCGCCTGTTTCCTACAAAGTCAACAACACGTATTAGTTGGGAAGCCAGCATAATATGCGGCGATCACTTTCCAGCAGAACACTTACTATCGAAGAAATAATTACTAATATTTCACTGCAGTCACAACTACAGTCGTGAAAATTTACTCGTAAGCTACTCATACAATTGAAGTGTATTGTTAGTACTGGCCTGACTACACAAAAAGTCTTTCTCGTAATGTCACAGCTAAAATACTATACAAATGTGGTGTTCGTTTATCTCATTGCATCATTTCGCGGTGCGAAAGCTGAATTTGTCCTAGAGAAAAAGATCAAGGACCACTTCTTGTCTTCAACACTACAGTCCAGTGACCACATTTGTTTGCCCAATCTAGCCTAATTTTTGACTCAGCTGTTCATTACTTATGAAAAGTCATTGATTCCTTACTTCTCACGGGATTATTTAAGCCTTTAGCTTATTGCAAAGTAGAGATAGTGATCATTTCTGGGAAATAGACAATCCAATACCACTTTCGCGTTCATTTGAACTCGTCAGTTAGATGGCGCTGGAAAGTCCACCTCCAGTAATTGTTCCTGCAGGTTCGCTGGAGTGGACCGACCTAAACCATTCATTCAGATGCTCTATTAATCAGAAATGTGTGAGGGTCATTAATGCTTACTGATTGTTATTCCAGACGACCGCACTTCATGGTTGCTCGTGCAAATACGGATAACCGAATAATGGCCTAACCGGTTCATCATCATCATCATCATCATATGACCTAACCGGTTGGCATTTGTCAGACTAGAATTCACAATTGCTTCAAGGGGCATCTTAGCTCACGTTCGCAGCTCAAGGCGTGGGCAGACCTATGTGAGTTTTCACCCATGATCTACGATTTTGTGCAATGAGTGGCCCTTGATGATTCCGATTGTAAAACTCTGTCTTTAGGCCATTTACACCCCTGCAAGCGTAGGGCTAAATAAAACGCCAGGAGAAATTAAGCGGTTCGGAAACTGCCGGGTCCTGAATAAAAGCTATTCTTTCTACTTACCCGTAAACTCATTGCCTTTAATTTGCGACAGCAGGACATCAGTGTTGAACACTGATTCCATGCCGTCTGTGATGATAATACAGGATGTCTCATAATAGACACAAAATTTGATTGGGTGAGTAGACGTAGCCAATCAGATGAAGGATGACGAAATCTTTCATTACTAGTAGTCACAGAAAGGAAGTTTTGTGTTCGAGTGTCGGCATTTTTTCTCTCTACCATGGATGTCAGTGCACGCATCGAAATTGTGAAACTCTATCATTCCCTTGGTGAAAGCGCCACAGCTGCACTTCGTGGTTACAAGACCAAACATGGTCTCTTCAAAGATCTTTTCACCGTGTCAACCATTACACGCTTGATTGCGAAATTTGAGTCCACTGGGTCTGTATCGAATTTTCCTGGCCAAGGGAGAAAGTCTCTGAGTGATGAAAGAGCGCCCATTGTACAGAATGCCGTCGAGCAACTTCAGACCCAGAGCACCATGGCATCTTCGTCAATAACTCAGATGTCTCAGTTGACCGGCATTCCCCGCGCCAGCGTGCATCGTATTATGAGACGCCA